CGAATGTCGGCCACGTGTGGGAACGCTTGGCGTAGGGGCTCGAGTATTTGGTCGATCATGTAGCAGTGAAAATCCACGTCAACGCCGACATCCCAGAGAGGCTGCAACTCTGGGCGCATCCACACGTTGCGCTTGCTGTTAGGACCAAAGGCGGCCTGGATCGCATTGTATTGAGCCACCGGCCAGAGCGTCGTCGGGTCCTGGCGCGGATGCTGGAGAAGACGGAGGACGCCGGCCCACGTATCACCGAGGAATCCCGGTGGCAGTACTTCCAAGAGCGTACGCAAGGCTACAGCGCTGGGTACGTAGCCAGCGATGGCGGCCATGAGCTCGTGGCTGCCGCTGACGGTGCTGGCGGCCATTTTGAAAAGTGCGAAGTGGTGTGGATTGTCAAATCCGGAGCGATCCGGAATAATCCGGATAAATGCCAAAGTCACCCAACAGCAAGCACTTCGATTCACAGTAATTCTTTGAGATCCAGTTCCCAAACGGTGAGGCAACTGTACAGACGCAGCAAGAGTGTATAGATTCGATGACTATTCTGTACCCTTGCAGTAAGAAGTTACCTCGGCACTTGGCAAAAATGCAGAGACTTGGCAGCCAAGCCAAGCCAGGATGTCGCACAGATGGTGAATAGGGGCCTGTGATTGGTGGGTTTGGAGGATCTCGTTCTTCTGATTGGTGTAGACCACAAAACAATACCACACGCTGGATACTTGGCGCCGTTTTGTCAAGGCATGACCGGACCCGAGTTCGCTCTCTGCCACGCCCGAGAGGCGACGACGCGCAGGTATGCCTTCTCGCTTGGCGCTACGTAAGCTTCCATGGCCATCTATCGACCGCGCAGCACTGGAAGACCTTGATCTCGGCTCCAGACGGACAACTTTGCAAATCTCTGTCGCGTGCGCAACCGTGGGCATGGGCCGGCGAGAGATGCTACGGAATACGGCTTGATCTTCAGACAGCTTCGCCGCGACCGACACGCACACGAGGTATCGTTCGTGCAAGCATTGCGGAGATGTACGGGAGTCCGTGACGCTAGGCTGAACTTGGTGGTAATGCGGGCTATAGAAGGTGCCAAGACGATTTAGTTGGATGTCGTCGACTGTCTGGAACGTGGAAAAGGACACGGGGTCGACGGAGGTGACGTTCCTGCTACGTGTCCCTACGATCGATGGTCACGTACTTTAGGCTGGACTTGAACGGGCATTGGAAGCGCGCATGGACCCTTCTGGACACGGACACATGATGGCGTGGGCCATGACGTAGGCCGGTGGACGTGGGTAGTCTTGGACAAAGTCGATAGTGCGCGCCTGCTGGTAGGCCCACAAAGGCCTTTGGGTGCGATGGTCTAATGGATGCCAGCTACATCTCAGGCCGATGCACCAAGGACGAACTTCGACCAAGCCATTGCTGCTGCGTGCTCACAAGTATCGAATGTTGTTCGTTTGACTTTAGGAAGAGGCCAAGACTGAGCCATCTCTCGCACGAGCACCGTGAACCATTTTCAACGGCGCCGGGGTTCTACCCGACGTCAGAAATGCGAAAAGGATGCCGAGAATCCTAGTGCGGCAAGAGTACAGAGCTCATCACCACACAACGCCGGTATGGGATCGATGAAAACAGATCTTCAAAACTGGGCTGCGATTCCACACTACAGCTTAGAGTTCGTCGCGGGCGACGTAGACGGGAATCGGGCCCAGCACCGGCGCCGCCTTTTGCACCTTGGTCGACTGCCGCACCTAATTATCAGCAGAATGAGATGTTGTCCATCGTGCGAGCGGTGTCGGAACATACGAGTGTGTAGTCGAGGGTAGGGAACTTGCGCGCGTTGGCCGCGTACGACTGCGGCGCCCACGTCACGTCGAGGTCGTCGGCGCTCACTTCCCAGCCGAGAGCCGCGCCCGCGCGCTGCTTGGCGTACGGGTAAAAGTAAAAGCCACAGACGTCCGGGTTGTTGGCATAGGCCTCCGATTCAATCGGCGCAAACGCGTGCGCGAGGTCCGTCGGCAGCATCGCCGGCAAGCACACGTCGCTCGAGTTGCCGTCGCGAAGATACTCGAAGAAGCAGAACGCCTGGAAACCGTCACCGACCGCCGTGCTGTTGCGCACAAGTGGTCGCGTTCGCCTTGCAGAAGCGTCGTTCGTGCAACTCAAACGAGCGGCGAGAGGACGAGGCCGCGTCACGGCGCGTGTCGTCGCTCAAGCACTCGTCGTACGCGAC